CTCAAGAAACCAGGAGTCGCCAGAGGGAAACCCAATGCTAACTTCTTGCAGAAAAGACAGTGGAGTTCAGCGGACCAGCCAGAGCAGACCCCAGTGGCTGTCGCACTTCCCCACAGCTTGGGCCAAGGGCCACACAGATATGCCCACATCTGTAAGACATGTCCCAGCATGGAACAAACATGAACAGCAGCACTCACACACGTAGTGCCTCTTACTGCGCATCACACCCTAACCCTAACCGGCCCCTTTCCCAGAAGGTGAGTCTAAACTGTGTTTGTCACCCTGTAGGGGGAGGCTCTTTGAAGAAACTAGCTAAGCCAGCTGGCCCCCTCCCTGCCTGAGACCCCGAGACCCCTGGGGCGCCTCCAGCGGCAGGTGAGGGGCTCACACAGGGCGCTGACACAGACGTCTGCGAACCAACCAGGAAAAGAGGGCGGCTTCAGCGACAGCAAAGAGCCAGGCTGAGCGAGTGCCAAGGCCAGGTGCGCCCCGGGGCGAGCCCTCCCCGGCCTCCCGATGCAGCCCTGTGGCGGCACAGCCGCACGAATCCGCCTGGACGTCTGTGCCAACGGCTCACAGGCAGCCAGGCAGTCTGTGCAGGAAGGTCCCGGTGACGCTCGTGTGCACGGTTGCATCACCTGCCCGCGCCAGCCGGGGGACATCACACTCGCTGGCCTGACTGTGAGCACGCCACTGGCCCGGCTGTGAGGACTGGAAGCAGGTTTCACAAAGGGGATTTACCCCTGCTTATGTGGATGCATTTCACAGAACCGGATGGAAGGTTCTGCGTTCGTCGTAAAGACGGATGCGAGTCCACACCATGGCAACCGCATCTGGTCAGGAAAGCGCCGGTCAGGACATCCTGAGGCAGATTCCAACAGTGCGCCAAGCCCCTCTCCACATGGAACACCTGAGCGGGGGAGGAAGCGCCTCGGAAAAGAGGGGTGTGAGGCTGGGTAAGAAAAAGGGACTCCCCAAAGGACAGGGGTGAGGGTTGAGTGGCCACTCAGACAGTTTGGGCGGCACTTCCCATCCTGACCCGTCCCGGGAGAGGCCCTCGGTCCTGGCCCAGGACGCCCAACCTTGGTGCCCCCCCCCCCGGCCTGCCCTGCTGCACGACCACACCGCCCGCTCCTGAAGCCGAGGGGGACGCAGCGCTCAGGCGTGCGGGGCTCGTGGGGACAGCGACCCAGCATGCGCGCTGCTTGGCACAGGCCGACCACCCGCGCAGACGCCACGCTGTCCTGCGCAGAACCCTTCTTTGCTGTTCTGTTCAGCAAATGAAGGCAAAGTCTTGCCAAGCGGCTCTCCCTAGATGAAATTACATCATTCTCCTATTTCAGGTGAGGAAAGTTCTTTCTATCCACCTGATGATTAAAATTTCCCAGCCCGTCACAGGCGAGGCCATTCACCCGGGAGGTCACACACACGTATGTTACTGCCAGGGAGTCCAGCTGCTCTGGAAAGAGCGGTCACACCAGTTCTGGCTGACAAGGGAAAAGGAAGCAGGAGCTCCATGCTGGAAATTCTGCTCTGGCGAAACCCTTGCCCTCCGAGCAGGAGTGGGCCTGGCAGGGCTCCCTCGGGTGATCAAAGACAGACTGGAGACTCCCGAGCACCCAGGAGCCAGGCCCACTGGAGATCAAAGGCGGCCGGAGAGTCCCAGTCCAGAGAGAGAGAGAGAGAGAGAGAGAGAGAGAGAGAGAGAGAGAGAGAGAGAGAGAGAGAGTGTGTGTGTGTGTGTGTGTGTGTGTGTGTGGGTGGTGGCCACAGGAGCACAAATGAGTGCTCTGAGGGGCTAAGAAAGGGGACATGAGCCTAACAGGAGGGAAATGAACCAGGTCGGAAACAGGGTGGGAGACTGGCTCTGCCCCGTTGGTGATGAAAGCTGGGTCCGATTTCAGGAAGAACCATTTGGTCCCGAGTTTGCTGAACCATGCCTGAGCTCAGATCAGACCAGAGAGCATCTGAGCGTTCACTGATCCCGTCAGAATCCATCAGTGTCTGTGGGTCCAGAGCTGCAGTCTATGATCTGCTGCCCGGTGTGGAGCCAATAAGTGCCACCACCTTTGAAGGACTCTTGGATTCGTAACACACCCCTCCCGGAGAGGCCGAGCAGCACTGGGACCACAGAGGAACGCTGGAGCCGCACACACGCCTTGCCTCCTTGCGGCCACAGCAGGGAAACGACACCTGGCTGTGGGCGAGGCCGTCCCCTAAACCTCCACTAAGAGCACACAAACTCCTGAATATAAAACCTTTGAGCTGAAACACAGACACCTGACGCAGAAGACCACCCACCACCGTTTCTTGGAAACAAGGAGGATGCATTCGTAGGGGCTGGAGAGGGAGGTTTGTGGCCAGTGTCAATACGTTCCTAAGCCACTGAAGCACTAACGGGACTCACGCGCCTGCCGAGCTACACAGCAGACTGACCTTTGACCTGGACGTCACAACCTGGGCCTCTGCTTCACAGACCAAGGATCTGGACAGGCATGGAAGTGCCGCTCTGTCAATCCGGAAGGCGGACTGGGCTAGCTCTGCTTACAAAAATCAATCTGCAATTGTGTCAATACTACGGCACCTGGCTGTGTCACATGAGGTAAAAATGCAGGCTGCTACCAAACCCCAAACTACCGACGGCACTCGGGTGTCAGTGAGCACCAGCTCGGGCGGGGCTCTGTGGCGGCACCGGAGACTGCAGTGGGCCGCAAGACAGGCTGGCGAGTGTGTGCTGACGTGCCCGCAGGGACGGCGCGCACTTAAGAGGCACGCGTGGGCGGGAGAACAGGCCGGAGGGGAGACCTGTGCGTGCAGGGATCTGAGTGAAGCCCCGGAGGCGAGGGGCAGCCCGTCCACACACAGGGGTCTGCCCAGGAGAGGCCCCAGGGGGGTCGGGGTGGGTGCGGCCCCAGGGCTGAGTCCACAAGCTGGGGGATTTGGGACACTGTAGGGGAGGTCGTCTTTCAAAACAGGGCATGAAAAGGCCAAACAAGACAGAGCCGCGTCGATGTCAACAGCAGCTTTTCTGTTCGGATGACTACATCAACTCCAGTATCCCTTAAAGAGTGACTACTGTAACGTAAGAAGATTCAAGACACCTAAAATGTGTGATTTATTTTTAATGTTCTTTAAGAACATTACTTTGCCGAATGTTAGGAAAGTATGAAAAAAACAGTGCATTTGGAGATGTCAATTCATGGAGATCCGGAGGATAGAAAGTCACAGCGGCCCCTGCACAGCTAAGAACCGCCGTGGCCACGCGTAACCCACACAGACAGACCACGAGCCTAAGCACCCACTCACAAATGCACCGGGCACAAGAAAAGGATGGCCCAGTCACGTGGACAAGATGAGGGGACCAGGGGCTTGCGTTCACCCTCTGGTGGTGGCGAACCCTCCCAGACCAGAGCCCCAAAGCCCTCTTGAAGGGAAGCGTGACTAGAAACCATTAGGGCCAAGGACGGGGCCCACGCTGAGCTGCATGGGGAGTGTGGCCCCCTCCAAGGTATGGCCCCACGTGGCCCTGGCCATGCTGCTGTCCACGACCAGGGGTCTCGAGGAGCCCAGCTCTACTTGCAGGTGTAGATAAGACCTGATTTTTATGAATTAAGAAAACACGTACGCAGCCAAGAGCCTTGGAATAATCTCGGGCTACTTCCTGAGAGGGAGCTGCTTTGACCCCCTTGCTCTGCTGTGTAGGCTGGAGTGCAATGGTGTGATCACTGCGGCCTCCAACTCCTGGGGTCAAGCGATCCTCCTGCCTCAGCCTCCCTACTACGTGTGACTACAGGGCACCACCACGCCCAACTGATTTCACTGTTTGTAGAGACGGATCTTTTCGCTGTGTTGCTCAGGTCTTGGACCCCCGGCCTCAAGCAGGAGGCTCAGCCTGGTAGCTCCTCAAGTAGTTACAACAGTGACCACAGGATCCAGTAATCCCACTCCTAGCTGTACACCCAAGGAAAACAAAAGCGTATGTCCACAGAAACATTCACATTCACAACAGCCAAAATGTGAGAATGGCCCGATGTCCATGGGTGGATGAATGGTCAAGAAAACATGACCTACCACGCAATTTTCCACCCAGCCACAGAAAGGAATGAGGCACTGACACATGCTACCACAGGATGAAACTTAGAAACATTACTCTCAGCGAGAAGAGCCGGCAAAAAAAGGCCAAGTATCATGTGATTCTGTTTCTAGGAAATGTCCTGGCCAGCAGGTCCTAGACACAGAGAGCAGACTGGTGGCTGCAGGACAGAGGGGTCTGGAGAAAACGGAGTGACTGCTAACTGAGAAAAGGGTTCTTTCTGGGAGATAAAAGTAAGTGTTCTAAAACTGGACATGGTGATGGCTACACAACTCTGTGACTATTCTAAAAACCACCAAATTGTCACTTTGAATGGGTTACAAGGCACATAAACGGTATCTCAGAAAAGCCGTACACACGTACACACACACACACACACACACACACACACGCCTTTATCCAGCTCTCTGACTCTCCAGTGAGGACCACCCTTCTGCTCTAACATTCAAGCACGTTTGAAAGAAAAGAAACAGGCTGTCCTGGGCCCGGCTTTGGGCCTTTGGTGGGGGTCCCTGCTGTGCCCACCAGCAGCACCCTCACATCAGCAGAGAGCGCAGGAAGCCCCAGCCGCTCCGCCTGCGTCCCAGCTGCCCAGCGTCACAGACCCTGGCAGGGCCCGAGGCCTTACCCGAGCGCCAGGGCCCAGCGGTGCTCTGGAATCCAGAGCTCTCCTGACTTAGGGCAGTAACACTGTGCACACGGTGTGCGCGGACTCGCCAAAGTGCATCAGAGTCGACCGTGAGCGTGAGCCCTCTCCCCAGGGGGCCGACCCGGGTGAGGGCCGGCCGCACAGAGCAGGGCAGAAAGCGCTGGAGACCTTTGGGTCTGGGCCGCGGGCTCGGCCCTGGCGCATGGGTCTCTGGCCCGAGCGCAGGGCAGCAGGGCCTGGCCAGGAAGCCGGGCCTACCTTGGTGGCTGTGGTGAGCGGGGCCTGGGCTTCTCCTTGTCCTTGTCCCGCTCCTTCTCCCGCTCACGGTCGCGGTGCTGCCGGTCCTTCTCGTCGCGCTTGGCCCGCTCTCGTTCCCACTCCTCCTTCCTCCGCTGCCGCTCCTTGTCGCGCTCCCGCTCTCGCTCGCGCTCGCGCTCCCTCTGCCGGCGCTCCCGCTCGCGGTCCCGCTCCCGCTCGCGCTCCCGCTCGCGCTGTCTGTTCTCTCTCTCGCGCTCTCGCTCCCTTTCCTTGTTAAAAAGCCAAACACACAGGAGCATGACTGGAGCACGCGTGGGGAGGTGGGCAGGGCGGGGCGGGGCGGGGGCGGGGAGCACTCTCAGTTAAAACACAGGCAGATGCCAAATTAGAGCCAGACACAACCTAAAAGTGACGTCCCAACCACAACCGCTAGCCTAACTAACGCCAGACTGACTCCACGAGACCTCTGGCCCCTCCGGTGGGCCTGTGTGGCATCCCAGTGCTCTGGGGGCCCAAGGCGGAGGATCGCTTGAGGCCAGGGGTTCAAGGCCGCAGTGAGCTGTGATGGCATCACTGTACCCCAGCCTGTCGACAGAGTGAGACCCCGGCCACTAAAAAACAAGCAAAAAAACCCCAAACTCTGCAGCCACAGGCCGGTATGAACCGGAAAGGCAGCTCTCCGTGTGCGGCCTGGGCCGCCCCCCACACTCGCCTGGACTCGGCCCTGTCTGCAGGACGAAGGGTGCGAGCTGTCCCTGAGGGGCAGGTGCCCACGGAGCACCTCACTTAAAGAGTCGCTCCTGTTTTCTAACACCATCCTCCAACACGGGTTTGAATGACTCCTCTGCTCTGATTTATTCATTTGCTCTAATAGTCAAAGTTAAAACCAAAACCAAAAAACGTCCAATCACGGTGCACTTGACAGACTTCAGGCTTTAGGCCACAGAGGGGCAAATGCCGAGTGCACCCCCCCATCCTCCAGCTGCTCCCCTTGGATGCAGTAGGAGAGGGACGTGGCAGGGAGCAATCCCAGGGCTCTCTCCTCCTTCAAGGCTGCCCTGCCTGGGACCGGGACCGGGACCGGGACCAGGACCAGGACCCTGCAGCCCAAACATGACCGAGGAAGCGGCTGCACGGCAGGGGAGCACAGGAGCACCCACCCGGGGGTTCTGGCACCGAGGGGCCTCTTCTCTCCACGCGCTCCACCACGTGGGCTCTTGGGCACTCACGCCCGTCCCAGCAGCCGCAGCACACACTGCTCAGCTGCTCCTCCTGATCTGTGCCGGGGGCAGCCCTGCCAACCCCTGAGAGGCGAGGAAGGACTGGTCTGCAGCAGGGGTCCCTAAGCACACTGCGCTCGGGCTGCTGACCGGGAGGGAGGAGACCCAGCACAGAGCCGCCTTCTGTAGGACCAATCGGGCGGGACAGGCCCAAGGTCAGACTTGCTGGGTTGAGTTAAACGGGCGAGAACAAGCATGATAATGACCAGTGTCACCACAAAAGAGCCGAGGAGAGCAAGACACACTCCCTCGAAACTTGCCTCATAACTTTATGGGAAAACTAATTTCAAAAAAACCACAGCAAGAACAAAGCTCGCAGGACAATCCCTGTTCCAGTGACCACAGACGTCACCCGTGGGTCTGAGGGAGTCCTCACATGCAATCTGTTTGGGTTTGAAACGAGCACCTGTGCTGACAGCACAGGCCCGCGTGAAGCCCCAGGAACGGAAGGGGAGACTGGAATGAAAAGGTCTGCGCGTTTGAGGCATACTTACTCGGTAATTATGGTATGGTTCTGATTCTGTGTATTGAACCCTGAAATTCTCATACTGTCCACCACGCCAAAACCGCTCTATTTCATAGTCATAATAAGGGTCCGCGTAAGGCTCCAGTCTGAAAAAAGAGCCAATAAACAGTAAATCTGATCACTCAGGAATCCCAATGCAAAATATCACGTCAGACATTAGCAGATGCAGGCCAGCGCCACGTCAAGACAATAACGCACCGTGGGTGGGATTTAGTCCAGGAATGCCAGGGGGGGTCAGTGTTAGGAAATCCACTAATACACTACATGTAGCAATAACCCAAAAAGTCCCAGGATTATGTTCACAGACGACAAAAATATCTTTGACAAAAATTCCAAACCCATTCTTGCTTTTTTTGAGATAGAGTTTCGCTCTGTTGCCCGGGCTAGAGTGCCGTGGTGTCAGCTTAGCTCACAGCAACCTCACACTCCTGGGCTCAAGCGATCCTCCTGCCTCAGCCTCCCGAGTAGCTGGGACTTACAGGCATGCGCCACCATGTCTGGCTAATTTTTTTTTTTTAACATATACATTTTAGTTGTCCAGATAATTTACTTCTATTTTTAGTAGAGACGGGATCTCGCTCTTGCTCAGGCTGGTCTCGAACTCCTGTGCTCAAACGATCCACCCGCCTCAGCCTCCCAGAGTGCTAGGATTACAGGCGTGAGCCACCGTGCCCGGCCTCCATACCCATTCTCAACAAAAAATACTCAAGAAAATAGGAATTGATTCATTCGTAACATGAAAATATATTTATATGCTTTAGAACTGAAGCCAGCACCTTACTCCATGGGGAAATGGGGGGGGGGATGTCCCCTCGGATCAGGAAGTGGGAGACCTGCCATCCCCACCACTCCAGCCAGTGTGTGCGGGCACTGCCAGCTCGACTGGACAAGAAGGGCCCAAGAGAGGCACGAGGACAAGAAAAAACAGGAGCAAAATTATCCTGACTTGCGAATTACACGACACTGTAACTGGAACCCCTGGAGACTTGTGAATGAAGCCAACTCTCACTAACGAGTGACCCACAAGGCAGAAGGACAAAGTATTCACACTCCAAAATAGCATCTGCATGCACACGCGTAGCAGCCAGTTAGGACACACAGAGTAGGGCACACCTCGCTTACAACAGCACGAAAGAAAAAAAAGCACTCAGGAATAAATTACATCGAACCAGAAATGCACAGGGCCTAACCCTGAAAGACACAAAGCCCGTGTGAATGAAGGAGACGTCCCTTGCTCTGGGACAGGGTGGCCCGGCATCAGCAACAAATCAGTTCTTGCTACGTTATTTATAAATTTAAGGCAATCTCAAGTAAAAACACCAACAAGCTCCTTTATGGAGCCAGACAGGTCGACACCCAAGTTCACATGGAAAATCGGACCCCAAAGACCAGCCAAGACAGCCCCAGAAGAGAAATGCCCCAAGATGTTACAACATCCTGCGAAGCCAATATAATTACAGTAGCGTCACCGTGGCACAGGAAGAAATAAACGGCCCGTGCAAGACAGCAGGAGCCTACGCAGAGCCAAGCACGTACGACGATGGTGGCACGTCACAGGGCAAAGGGTGCTCTTCACTGAATGGGGGACAACTGACCAGCTACTGGGAGGAAGGCCAGGCCAGGACCCACCCCACGTAACACGCCTCCACCGGCTCCTGCCCAGGGACAGAGGGAGTCTGCTCTGAACTCCCGGCGGGGCCCACACCTCCCTCCTCCTTCCCGGTGGGGCAGGGAGGGAGGGCGCGCCAGGCTGGTGGCAGATGGCCCCAGGGGATTTCTTGGCTCCAGACCAGGTCTTCCCACTGGGTGGACTGGGCGGGAATCTGAGGCCCGGCCCTGGTGGCTGTGGGACACCCTCCAGGCCATCTTGTCACCCGTCTGCCTGCCCAGTCTGGCTGCTTTCTGGGAAGTCTCTCCTCAGGACTGCAATGCCTCCAACAAGGAGACGGACCCAAATCCGGCTCTGCCAAAGGGCACAGGCTTTGCTCACTCCAAACTTCCAGATGTTGTTCCAGCAGCCTCACCGGCACACTTCTCAAGTAATATTTAATCGCAACAATCAGTAAATATTTGCAGAGGCCTGCAGTGGTACACACACTCAGTGAGACTCCAGAACCCCTTCCCAGAGGGTTCCCTGCTCTCTGGCAGGGAGGCTGGGCCAGCACATTCGTTTTTGGGAAACTGAGATTAAGCCAAATGGAAACAGCCTCTTTCCTGCCAGATTTCTCGAAGTCACAGGCCAGGCCAGTCAGACACGGGCAGCCGACAGAGCCGGAGCTCCCGAGTTTCCTCAGGCCAGCTCCCGGGAACCGCCAGCCCAGCAGGGCCCCTTCTAGGGGAACACGTCAACACGCCATAGTGAAACGCAACCATGCTAACAACCAACTCCTCGGCACCGCCTCGAAAAATTCTGGAAAACATTCAAAATTAATTTGGACGGTAGTTGTTTAACGCATTTAATTTTAAAATAAATCCTACCGAGCAGTATCACAGTCTGCACAAACACTTCCCAGAGTGTTCTAGGGAGTCTGAGACGTTGACGGGCCTTCTGGGAAAAGGGTTCTGTGGTCAAGCTGGCCTCTGCCCGTCGGAGGGCTGTGCGGTCAGTGACTCCCTAACCAGCAGGGCACAGCGCCCAGCGCACACCAGGTGCCACCGCAGATGCCTCACGTCCCCAGAGATCCGGGCAGTGTCACACTTGGCACTGGCCCATAGAGCAGACCTGCCCCTCACTGGAGAGAAAGCCCCGAGGTCCTGGCCAAGGAGGAACCACGGGACATAGCCACCTGGTGTGGGGGAGGTGGCTTCTCTCTACAGCTCCCCAGGGAGAGGCGTGGCAGGAGAAAAGAACGCGGAAGAATTAGAATTTTGGAGCTGGAAGCGTAGAGATTATTTAGTTTAACCATTTCATTTGAGATGAGGAAACTGAGGCTCAGAAGATAACACTAGGAAAGTTCTAAAACATCTACTATCGTTTACTTTTTATCTATGGTTTATGAAATGTTAGTCCATGAAATGAAACTTGCCTTTCTTTACATGATTAAGGTCAGAACTGTACTAACCCTAACCCAGAGCCTGGCGGAGGGGGGCTGTGCTCCCTGCCGGCCCTGCCTGCTGCAGGGGCCCAAGGTGGGGAGGAAGGGTCAGGTGGGTTCCCCCACATGCAGGGTAGGCCTAACACTCCCAGCAACCCAACCCCTCCTTCTTGGGAACACTGGAGCTTCACAAGGGCACCAGTACAAGGGTATGAACCCCATGCAATAAACAAACGAGTCAGCAAGCGTGAGTTCTTGCTGTGCGAGATGGGCTTAGAGACCCTGCGTATCCGACGACAGACTGAAACCACATCCAATTCCTCTCCTATAGCAGGGGAGGCACGACTCAGCTCAGCGAACTTTTAATCAAGCCAGGCGGTGTGCTAGTTGGCAGTGGGTATGAGCACAGAGAAGCAAGCCTGTGCCCTGGCTGTGGATGGAAGGGGCTGGGCCCTGTCTTTCTGTGGGCGGGAGAGCTGGGCCCATCTTTCTGTGGTTGGGGGGGCTGTCCCATCTTTCTGTGGGCAGGAGAGCTGAGCCTGTCTCTCTGTGGCAGAGGGTTGGTGTTTTCTCAGCTCAGTGTCTGGGACAACGAGGTGCTCAGCCAGCACGTGGCGGAGCCAGGATCTGATGAAAGGTACGTGCCTGCTGAAAACCACCGTTCTGGTTTCTCCGAGTGACCTACTATTCTCCAAGAGAAAAGAAGTCTGCATCCTGCCTTCAGAACAGCAGCGCTGGGCCACCATCTGGGCTGTGCAGACGTGACTTAGGAGTTGGCCAGGGCAGTCCTAGGCCCCGGGCGTGTTGCCTAATGGTCTGCTCCTGACTGAACAAGCTGCTGCTACCACCATGATAGTGCTCCTCACGGGCGACATCCTGAGCAGGCTTCGGGATCACGCGCCTGCCGGGCTGGGAACAGCGTCCCCAGCAGCCCTGCGCAGAGACGTTTCCGAGTGTGTTGTGTGCACAAGGCTTCTCCTGTCAGACGGTGTCTGAACACAGTGCCTGAGGTAGAGGACACGGCACCAGCAGAGCACTGTTTTCACTAGGTGATCCTGCTGGGTGAGCTGCAGAAGAATCCCCACAGAGGGATAAACAAAAGTCAGCGTTCTTGTCCTTTACGCTGTGTCTCAGAATATTTCCTCAAGCGCTCTCGAACAGGCACGATTCTACCATGACGTTCCCAGCTCCACCCTGTGACGGGAAGGAGGCTCTATGTGACAACTATTCAGCGTCTCCACACTCTAAGCTCACCATCAGGGAACAAGATCAAGGGGTATGTCCGCAGGCTGGGTGAGCAGGGACTCGCTCCGTTCTGAGTCCCAGCTCCCCAACTCCCCGCTAAGTTCTAACGGTGCCAGCCTGCACTGGCTCCCGCCACACAGCGGTGCTTTCTTCTCACCTCTGCAGCCACCTCGTCCACACGTCTACCTGTAAGATGGCCCATCTACCTGTAAGGCACTCTCTGTTAAAATCTCCAGGTAGTCTCTACGTCCTGCCGGGACCCTTCCTGCAGTGCCCATCAGAAACAGCCGGAGTGCTTTCCCACAGCCACATGCACCCCCGCCCTGAACCAGAGGTCCTGACTCACCGGGTCTGGGGTGGGGCCCGGCACAAAAACCCCCAGGTTAACTCTACTGCACACAGGATATTAAAAAAATAAAATAAAACACAAATAAAAACCTGGCTCTCAGCCCTATCTGCAGAGGCTTTAGAATTCGAGGGCCCTGCAGTGTAGACACCCGTTCCCGGGTGAGAAGGTGGGGAGCCAGCAGCAAGCTTCTGTCACCTGGGACCAGAACACGAGCACAGGACTAAAGACACTTGTTTCTGCGACCACAGCTGCTGTGCCCAGTGTGCATGCAGAGGGCGCTGCACAAACCTCAGACCCCATGGATCCACTTCCTGCCAGGGTCACTTCCCAGCTCTGCCCCGGCCACGGAAACTGGAGGAAGGTGTCAAGCATCAACCCAAAGTTCCAACACCTTTCCTTACCCACTCGAACCACCGCACACGCTCAGAGCACCTTGTGCTTCTCACAGGGCTCTGCACGCACCAGCTCCTGGACGCGAACACCCTCCGAGGCAGGAAGGACGGGATCGTCCCCATCTAACGTGAAATCTCTGGCACACCGGGGCACGTCCCCGAGATCCTGCAGGTGGCAGAGCCCAGACTGTCCTGACTGCAACCCTCCTGTGATCGGACACTGTCCACATGGAATTAAACTAGACAACATACACGTTTTAGCTACATCTTTAAATTTCTATCCCTTCAACCTCTGAGGTACCACCTGCTACAGCAGGTGTGGAGCACTAGGCCTCATCCTCACCCTGTATGGGCAGAAAGCCCGGGGAGCACCCTGCCCTGGGAGGGCCTGTAGGGCCATGTCACTGTGATCATGTCCTAAAATGCAAGCGTTGCATGCCTTCCATTATTCTGTGCTTTTTGCTGTCATTTCAGACAGAAAGCACAGTGACCGCAACCTCCTAACAGCAAACGCAAATGCACAAACTGTCGCTGTAAGACTAAGAACAATGGTAGGGCCAGCCTTGATCACCAACTGGATCCAGAGTCAGTTCCTGTGACCTGCACCCACAGCTGGCTGGCTCCGCGGGCAGACACTTGAAGGCAAGTTCCACAAGCCCTGTTTCACCCTGGGGGACAGGAGCGGGGAGAGGGGAACAGCCCTTTTTAAGCCACATAATTGGTATAGATCTGACTTACGCTCTTCAACCCGGTGCACTACTTCAGTAATTATTTTTTTACAGACCAGCAATCAATGTCTGGGAGGAGAGACAACAGAGGAAGCAGCTGCCATGAAGAGGCCACTCCTGCACCACAGTGAATGGGGAGGGTGGGGAGCCAGAGACAGACTTGTGGGGCTCTAGGGGGTTCAGAGACAGCTGCAAAGACCCTCAGAATTTACAGGAACCGCCACGAGCACGCCCCCGGTGACATGGCCATGGCACAGAGCTAAAACATTTCCTTCACAGAAGCAAAACACCGAGACAAGCGGCTGCGAGAAGAGAGTCAGGAATGTCATTTGCACTCCAACTAGAGTGGACGGCGTGAGCCCCGAGTGTGCCTGGGGACCGGCCTGTGGCTGCCCACTCCATAGCAGGGCCTCGCACGGGGACACCTCGGTTCTCTTTCCAGAGGGAGGGGGAGGGGAAGGGCCATTCCTTACGCGGTATCTCTGACATCTCTCGGGGTCCGAGAATTCCAATCTCGGAAAACTTCATTTTCCTTGTCAAACTCCCGTTCATCTTCACCAATGGTCACTGTAAATCTTTTCTCTTCAAAATCAGGCTCCTGTTCTTTTCGAATGGTTGATTTTTTTAAAACCTACCATCGTAAGAAGAAAGAAGTCAACACGGAGTCAGAACACTCGGTGCAGCCATGAGGAGGCACACGGGGAACCTCGTGACTGGCCGGGGCAGCGCCGCGCGCAGGGCGGACACAGGGCCCGCGTGCCCTGGGGAGGGAGAGAGTCTGCACCTGTCTGCACAGAGCCGCCCCGCGCTCACGCAAGGCAGGGGGAGCTCCCCCCTCCTGCCAGCACTCGTGGAGCCCCACGGGCACCCGCCGGGGAGGACTGAGTGCAGGGACGAGCGGCAAAGGGAGCGAGGAGGGAGCACTGTCTGTCATCCCCCAGGAGAGAAGCTGGCAGAAGCCGGCGGGGCCCGGTGTGGTGAGCTCGGGGCCACAGATCTTAAGCCGGGACACCAGGGCCAGACGGGGCCTGGAGTGAGGCGGCGGGCAGGGAGGGCGCCCGAGGGCGTGGGCCTGGGGCACCGCACAGGCTGCCGCACCTGACTCCGGGGAGGTGGCTCCGAGCGACAGCACCAGCCGGGGCGTGGCCCAATGCTGACCAAGCCACATAAAGACCCTGCACTGGATTGGGCCCCCTGGCCTACTGGGGTTCGCCTGCGACCTAGGCTGCCTCCAAGACAGTGGAAGTCACTCTCCACTCTTTACCTCTTAAAAGGAACCACAGAGATGGACCTCCAACTTCAGAGGCTTTCCTGAACTGCCCATGATTGTTCTCTGGACCAAACTAACACTAGCCCTGCGCGGGGACCACCACTAGTGCTTCCTCCTCAGGTTTTCTGCAGAGTTCGGTTACCTCCTTTGCATGCCGGAGTCCTCGTTCCCAGGCACTCTCTGTTGGGGGCTCTGGAGGGGGTGGAGGCAAAATTTCGTCAACTACTGGCCCACCCTATTAAGAAATGAGAAGGGAAAAGTTGAGAAGGCAAGTAAAACTTCAAATCTATAAAGAAAGGGGGCAGTAAAAATACCCACTAAAACACAACTTGGCCGCACGTGGCCTGCTCTCCCCTCGCAAAGCCTCCCTGTCCCCTGGGCAGTCTAGGACTACACATCCACACGGGGACAAGAAAAGCACTGGGAAAGGTGGCTCTGCAGCCCCCCCAAGGCACAAACGCCTTCTCCGTGGGCGTGTCAGTTTGTCGTCAGCCTGAGGACCAGGCGAGCCTGGCGCCTGGTCTGCTAGCGATGAGAGAAGAAGAGGCATCCACGCACCCAAGGGTTGGCAGGCATCAGAGGGTGAGGTCCGAGCGGCGGGGCACCGTTGGGCGGGAAGGGGTCGGCTTTGGTGATTAGGGAGTAGTTCCCCTTGTCGTTCACGCCAGGGTGTATAAACCTACAATTCATCCCCCAGGTACAGTTCCCTAAGGAAACAAAAGTCAGGTCAGAAAGGGTCTCCGAGAGCCTGGCTGCGCGAGGGCCGCAGCCTGTGCTGAGGGTCTGGGACGCGCAGAGCGCAGCCGCGCGGTCTCGGGTCATTGAGCGGCGGGGCCCCGAGCCGGGGGGCTGCAGCCAGGGTCACCTGCCCTACCCGCGAGTGCGTTTCTCTCGTCAAAATCCTCCCAAGCCACTTGAAGACATTTCTGGTACTTAAATTGGTCTTTTATAGTTTGTTCACAAGTAACAGTCAAAAACTGTCTTTGGCAACGGATTATTAGAGGAAAACAGCTTGACTTTTCAGCACAGAACGCGAGATATCTAAGTTTTAACGTGATCAGTGAGCGAGCCACTTTTTAAAGACTTTTTGACTAGGTTATATGTGCACACAGCTCAAAAGCAAACATGGCACGGGGCATACCTAAGTAGCTTGAAAAAACATTTTCGATGGGTCAGCACATAGAGTTTAAGTCATTTAAAAATACATATTCAGTCCTAAACATGATATTCCATTTGAGAGCAAGTCTTTCAATAAATCATGTTTTTCCTTACACAATGTAAACAGAAATAATCATTTGGTATTTAGGAAAAAGCCAAATTTTATATTTAAACATTATAAACACTTGAGCTTGCATTAAAACCAAGTCAATACAACATGATGGCATTATCGATCAAAATGATCAAATAAAACATACTTAAAATTGCTTTTCTGGGAATGCAAAAATGACAAAATAATTTTTTAAATTCTTAAAGGTGATTAAGAGATCACATGCAAGTCAAAGGAGGTTGGGAAATGTTATTCTACAAGGGATTTGAAACCCCAAGGCCTCAGAGAGGTTTGAAAGAGAAGACTACGCAGTCACGCATCTAAAGAAAGGTCCAGAACACCATGACTTCTTCACGACGCGACTCTCACAGAATGTTCCTGTGGTATTCAACACTGCTTTGTGCAAAGTAACACAACTCACTGCAAAAAAAAAAAAAAATCTGCAAGTACAAGAAAGCATTAACAATATAAACCATAGCTCTTCTCTCATTTTTCAAGCCTAACATAATGTATCTGGGTGGTGGATGAGTTGACCTTTGTTATTCTTCATTCTATTCTGTACCTGCAAAACTTTCAGGACACCACCTATGAGCCCACTATCAAAGAAGACCTTTTCCGCAGGGGCAGGGGGAGAAAGAGGAGCAAGGTGCGTGGTACGTGAGCAGAGGCAAACAGCCGGGGAACGTGCAGGGCAGGTCCCTGCTGAGTGCTGTCCTGGCCTGGCCACCACGGCAGAGGGCACAGCTGGGACACAGGCTCAGCGAGGGACAGGCATGCAGGCATCCCATTCCCCTTTTTAAGGGCGAACTCTTATCTGTATAGAAAAAAGTCTGGAAGATAACGATATATATACCAAATTGTGGGGACTGGAAAAATCTTATCTTTTGTTTTCTTAACTTCCTGGTTAGCACACATTACTTCCATAATTTAAAAGAGCAATTTGTTTAATTTTAAAAAGAGAGGAAAAAATCTCCAGGAAAGAGAAGCAAAAATAAAGATCTTCTGGTTTTAAAATTGAATGGTCTTTTGCTTCTAAATGGAACTTCAAACAGAATGTATGTGGACTGTGGCTCTAACAGGACAGAGAAAAAGGCTCGAGGCCGATTTTGTGAGGACTCTACAGGCCCTGGATCCCAGCCACGAGGGGACAGAGAAAGAGAGATGGACACTGTCAGGAGCTGGGTGACACAACAGTTTCTTCCCTTCTGAAATTCCTAAGTGCTCTTGTTAGCACACAGAGCTTCAAAGGGGAGGATAATGTTCTTTTCCTTGACTAGATGGTTGGAACATTAGCAATTGTTTTATTCTTTTAATTAATCTTTATGCCTATTAAACATTATATTATTTTATGTATATAAAATATTTCATAATAAAAAAAACTTAAAAAGGGAATACATGTAAATACAAAGTGTCCACATACTTACTCTAAAGGGCACGTGGACCCTCCCTGCCCCACGCCTCCTGGCTCTCTGCCAGAGGCAGGTATCATTTTATTGGACTCAATCAATCAATCTTCTCCCTCCCCTCTGCTGGCCCACAGCCACATTATATACTGTGTTGAAACTTGTTTTCTGTAAAACAATGTATTTACAGAAAGGAAACCTGCATGCTCAATACCAATAAACTGAAACAGTATCAGTGAAACAGATACAATATATGTTGAGAAAGCTACAGCTGGTCTCCCAGCGGAAACCAGGGAAACCACACACAGGAGACCACTGCGGAGACGGCTGAGTCTCCTGATCCAGCATAGGACACACGACCAACGCCCAGGAGAACCCGCCTCTCCGAGCGTGGGAACATCGGCAAGAGCAGGGGCCCGTGTGAGCGAGCATGCCCGGTCCAGAACTGCTTTCCAGATTTTTTTTTTTTTTTTTGTTGCCCAGGCTGGAGTGAGTGCCGTGGCGTCAGCCTAGCTCACAGCAACCTCAAACTCCTGGGCTCAAGAGATCCTGCTGCCTCAGCCTCCCAAGTAGCTGGGACTACAGGCATGTGCCACCGTGCCCAGCTAATTTTTTCTATATATATTAGTTGGCCAATTAATTTCTTTCTATTTATAGTAGAGACGGGGTCTCGCTCTTGCTCAGGCTGGTTTTGAACTCCTGACCTCGACCAATCCGCCCGCCTCGGCCTGCTTTCCAGATTTTTAAGCATTTGATGTGTTGGCTGTTTTGGTGATCAGTGCAGCGCAGCGCTAACGTTTATACAGCTGCACTGCCATTGTGCATGCGTCCTACTACAACGGTCCAAATAATTTTACAATCTCTATTTTCCTTACAAAGCATCTGCTTATACTAGAATTTTAAACAAAGAATTTCTAATAAAATAGTCTTATTTAAATATTTCTTGGTCCCCTTTCATGTGAATCAGAATAATTTAAAATAGGTAATAAAAAGAAGGATAGTCGAGATAAAGTTTAAAGTGCTTTATGGTTTTCAAATACTTAGAATATATAAAAATCTAATGATTAAATCTTAGGACAAACCTAAGACCCACCAATCTATATTCGAACAGGCGGAAGACTCAGTGAGCCCTGCACCCCACTGCACTGTGACGTCACCCCAAGAGAGATCTCCTCTCCTGCCCCACTGTGACAGAAACTCACAGAAAACCACAGCTTCATCTAGTGAGATTCAGAGACACTTTTAACTCTTGAGGAATATACTCATTATAGTAGCTGAAAGAATTGAAATAATTTCTGGGTTGTTCTTCGTAAATAAGGTAGACTTGAAATAGTGGTTCTAACAGTTTGGCCTCAGCAACCCAGAGAGTATTGTTTATGTGGGTTATTTCTACTGACAGTTACTGTATTAGAATGAGAAAGTAATTAAATGATGCGTATCTCTGATGCTGACGACAGAACGAGACGGCTGGATTCTGAGACCTGCGTCCACATTTACTGTGCTGGGATGGTTTTTTTGGTGGAAGGTGAAGATCTGGCCCCACAGAGATGCAGCTGGAAGGAGGCGGCACGTCTTAGCCTTTTCAGACACTCTGGGATGTTCTTCTTTGATGCCACGTGGAATCCAACTCATCACCCAGCTCTCTCAACTCTGTCCACTAAAGTCCACAGGTTTATCTTGAACTTTGAATGGATCTTTTACCCACGTGTGATCTTGTAACAAATATCCTGCAGTGGTCATGTGGAAAAGTCATTACACAGTGGGGAGTTGTTGAGCCCACAGTGGTAGATATAAATTTTCCAAAAGTCGCGTCTTCACTGGAGAGCACGCATTTAACAGTGCTAACTGTTGCTCTCACCGCAGCGGCAGGCTCGCCTCCTTCCTGCCAAGGCCCAGGCTGGCGTCCCCACAGCACGTCTGCCAGTTGTGAATGCGTGTTCCACGGAGAGAGTGTGGCGGTCCGGCTGCAGCGCAGACTTCACACACCCACTGCCCCTCAAGACCACCAGACTCCAGCGCAGGCGATGGTCTCTGGCCGCCCATCCTGCTGAATGCTGAGGGTGTGTACAGTGACACCCCTAGTCTGCTGCTGGGCTTTCCACAGCTTTAGTTACCTGAGGTCCAAAATACTAAATGGGTGATTCCAGACATAAATAATTCATAAGTTTTAAATTATATGCTGTGCGGAGCAGCATCATAAAATCTTGCGCCATCCAACTCTGTCCTGCCTGGGACAGAGTTGTCCCTTTGTCCGGCAGACCCACTGGCATAGCACGAATTGCCTGTTAGTCACTCAACAGCCATCTCAGTTAGCAGGTCAAGGTATGGCTTGTGCTCCTTGTCATGGCTCCACGGTACAGGATCACCCAAAGCAGATGACCGTCCTTCCGACGTGTCCTCAGAAGGCTGAGAGCAGCCAGATGCCATGTCACAACGCCTACCGCACACCCCTCGCCTCATCGCACTCCCACCTCGCCGTCGGAAGAAGGGTGAGAGAGACACAGCCCGTGCCTTGTGTTACAGCCTGTTGCCATCACTGCTGTATTGTGCCACTGTCACTACTCCTCACTGTGCCTCAGTCAGACATTAAGCTTTATCGCAGGTGTGCACACAGGCGAAAACACGCTGGGCACGCCCCACGGTTTCAGAGTTCCAGACGCTGACTCGGGTCCTGGCACATGTCCTGTGGATAGGAGGGGACCGCCGTAGAGAAGGTTCTTCCTGGGGTAATGGAAACCCTCCACAAATGGACTGTGGTGATGGCTGCACAACTTTATAAATTTACTAAAAGTCACTGAATTGTACACTTAAAATGGGTGAATTTTATGGCATGTAAATTATACTTCCACAGTTGGCTTTGTTGAGAGACCTGTACTCAAGTATAAGATTTAATTAAATTCTAACTCCTACCGCTATGTCACAGACATCAGGTGAAACTGGCATTCTATTTTTTGAGACAGGGTTTCTGTCACCTGGGCTAGAGTACAATGGCATGATTGCAGCTCACAGCAACCTCAAACTCCTGGGCTCAAGCAATCCTCCTGCCTCAGAGTAGCTGGGACTATAGGCGAGCGCCATCATGCCGGGCTAATTTTAAAATTCTTTTGTAGAGATTGGATCTCACTATGTTGCATAGGCTGCTCTCAAACTCCTGGGCTCCCAAAGTATTGGGATGACAGGCCTGAGCCGGAGCCCAGCCATAACTGGCATTTTAAAATGGAATGCATGGTGGTGAACACCTGACTACTAGGACAGTCTGACTACTATTGTGAAAACAGTTTAGACTTTAGGGTCCCCTGCAAGAGTCTCAAGGACCCCCAGGGGTCCACAGACCACACCTGGAGACTTGCTGCTTTAAGCACTAAAGAGAACGCAGGGACTAAAAAATGAGCAAAAGACCTTTCTGCAAGAAGGTCTACAAACGACCAACAAGCAAAGATGAGACGCTTGACATCACTAAGCATTAGGGAAATGCACACCAGAACCTCACTGAGATACCAGCTCACACCCATTAGGATGCTACCATCAAAAGAACAGAGAACACCACGTGTTGGCAAGGACGCAGAGACACCGGAGAGCTTGTGCACTGTGGCGGGAATGTAAATGACGCACTGTTTGGAAAACGACTTGGCAATTCCTCAATTCCACGTGATCAGCAGTTCCACTCCTGGGCGCGGGCGCGTGCTCGGCAGAGTGCTGGTCTCGAGGAGACGTGTGTGCTCCCGTGTTTGCTGCGGCCCAAGACCCACTGCCGGGGCATGGGTAAAGGTGAGGCGGTCTGTCCACACAGTGGAGTGTCCCTCAGCCTTAAAAAGGAAGGACATTCTTTTTTTTTTTTTTTTTTTTTGAGACAGAGTCTCGCTTTGTTGCCCAGGCTAGAGTGAGTGCCGTGGCGTCAGCCTAGCTCACAGCAACCTCAAACTCCTGGGCTCAAGGGATCCTCCTGCCTCAGCCTCCCAAGTAGCTGGGACTACAGGCATGTGCCACCATGCCCGGCTAATTTTTTGTATATATTAGTTGGCCAATTAATTTCTTTCTATTTATAGTAGAGACGGGGTCTCGCTCTTGCTCAGGCTGGTTTCGAACTCCTGACCTCGAGCAATCCGCCCGCCTCGGCCTCCCAGAGAGCTAGGATTACAGCGCCCGGCAGGAAGGACATTCTGACACAAGCTACAGCATGGACGAATCTCGAAGACACCACACTAAGTGAAAGAAGCCATCACATGAGGACAAATGTTGTACAATTCCACTTACGTGAGGTCCCCAGAGCAGTCAGGATGCGCAGAGACAGAAAGCAGAATGGCAGGTGCCAGGGGCCAGGGCCGGGGCCGAGAGAATGAGAAATTGCTGTTTGATGGGTACAGAGGCTCAGTTTCTCAACTTGGAGAAAGTTCTGGAGATGGATGCTGGTGATGGTCACACAATATGAATGTATTTAATAACACTCAATTGTATACTTAAAAATGGTTATGTATTTAATAACACTCAACTGCATACTTTAAAATGGTATTTTACCACGATTTTAAAAAAAGTGGGAGGCCAGGTGCGGTGGCTCACGCCTGTAATCCTAGCACTCTGGGAGGCCGAGGGGGGCAGATTGCTTGAGGTCAGGAGTTCGAAACCAGCCTGAGCAAGATTGAGACCCGTCTCTACTACAAATAGAAAGAAATTAATTGGCCAACTGATATATGTAGAAAGTTAGCCAGGCATGGTGGTGCATGCCTGTAGTCCCAGCTACTCAGGAGGCTGAGGCAGGAGGATCACTTGGGCCCAGGAGTTTGAGGTTGCTGTGAGCGAGGCTGACGCCACGGCACTCACTATAGCCTGGGCAACAAAGCGAGACTCTGTCTCAAAAAAAAAAAAAAAAAAGTGGGAGCAGAGACAAGGTCTGGCCGAAAGGATGAGGTGGGTGCTTGTTCACAGAGAGCTAAAGCAGAAACCCAAAGTAGGATAGTTTTTAAAAAATGCTATTTATTCCTTTGTGGATAGAACTTTGTATCTTGATGATTCAAAAAAGATATATGAGAGATAAAAAATACCATTAAAAAAGTATTGATGCTTTAAAGTATTTACAAGCTGTGTCCCTAGCACATTTTGCTGTCAAGGGACACGAACACCAACACGTCTAACAGGCAATCAGAAGATAAGTCGATAGACCACAACTGTCACAGAAATAAAGCTAACGAACTTGTGAAGAAAGAATTTTTAGGCAGGGCTCAGTGGCTTGTGCCTGCAATGCCAGCACTTTGGGAGGCCAAGGACTGCCTGAGGCCAGGTCAAGACCAGCTAGAGCAAGAGCAAGACCCTGTCTCTATTAAAAATACAAAAATAAGCTGGGCGTGGTAGTGTGTACCTGTAGTGCCAGGTACTTGGGAGGCTGAGGGAAGAGAATGGCTTGAGCCCAAGAGTTTTGAGGTTGCTGTGAGCTAGACTGAGGCCACTGCACTCTACCCAGGGGGACAGAGCAAGACTCCTTCTCAAAAACAAAAAAAAAACATACAATTCACATACCATAAAATACTCCCATTATTGTGTACAATTCAGTGTATTCATGAAGTTGTGCAACCATCACCATTATCTAGTTCTAGAACATTCATTCCATCACCGCAGAAAGGAAACCCTGTACTCAACAGCTGTCACTCCCCACCCCCAGCCCAGGCAATGACTAATCTACTTTTTGTCGCTAGGGATGTGCCTGTGCTGGACGCTTCCCACGAATGGAATCATGCAGTGTGTGTCTGGCTTCTGTCACTCAGCGTCACGTCAAGACTCCTCGAGTGTGTAGCATGTGTCCAAACTTCATTCCCTGTGGCTGAATGAGACTGCTGTGCGGGGAGACCGACTTGTACTCACCCATCATCCGTTTAGGACGCCCGGGTTATCTCCTCCTTTTGGCTCCCATGAACATGTGTGCACAGCTTCTTCAGTGGATACGTGTTATCGTCCCTCTCGGACACACACCTGAAGTGGAACTGCTGGGTCACACGGTAACTCTACCCTTCACCTCTGAGGAACAGCCAGACTGTCCCCCAAAGAAACTGCATCATTTTACATTCCCACAGCGGTGTGTGACGGTTCCAGTGTCTCCACATACTCGCCACTGTGACAAACTTCACCTTATTTTTAAAGTAATTTCTCTGTTATTGGACGGATCATAAACTGATTCATCTCAATTTAACACCAAGCTTATAAACTGCAGGTATGCAAAAGTATTTACATCCAAATTTCTCAGAACCAAGCAAAAGCAGGAGACATGATCTAGGAAACTGGAAGGTTCGGCCATGTCCCTATGTGCTACATCACGCACTCCACAGAGTAACACACAGTACCAGGGGAGTGGTGACATTCACAAACACTCCTGGAACAAGCTGTTGCTCATGCCCAGTGAAGCTGCGGAAGCCACTCACTCTAGCTCCCAGCTCCCAGCTGCAGGAGCCCCCGCACTGCGCCTCACTCCCCGAAACCCGGGCCCAGGACTCAGCCTAGCCCTGGGGGCACCAGCTTCCCACTCTGACATCACTTCCAAGTGACATCCATGCAGACAGCAGTCCTGTCCTCGGCCGTCAAGGTGGTTCCCGGGACTTGAATCTGCAGTCCCAGCAACGACCTCACTTCTCGCTTTGTGCTTCTGTTGTTGACTCTGGGTGGGTCATCGGTGCGAGCCTCAGGCTCCTTCCTGGTCTGGAGTTTGGTGCACAGGTGGTGACCGCCGCTGCCTCTGCCATGGGACTCGTCAGACCAGTGCCACCGGGCCAGCCGCATTTGGAGTCGCACTGCTCCAGAGACAGAGCACTGTGTGCACGGGTCAGTGCTGACTCGAAACGGCTGCAAATGCGCGTGTGCAAATCTGTCTCCAACACTCTGACACAGAAATCTGTGAGAGGGGCTGACGGCACTTACTCCCATGCCTCCTGCTCACATTTGTTTTCTCAGATATTGACACTTCGGTAAGAACCGCAACGATTTACTTTCTCTGCTTTCCCAGGGTGACTGTGATGATCGTCACGTGATGGCTCGCGGGCTCCCCCAGCCGCCCTGCTGCAGGCTCTGCAGGGCCACCCAGGATGCAGAGTGTGGCCCCTCCGAAAGATGGCCCCCACCTGCCCCACGCCTGCCCCCTCCTGAGCACACGCCATGGCTCGGCTCGGTCTGCGCCTCTAAGGAAGAAGGTCCGGGACAGCTCTCTGACCCCCACCCCCCTTCCCTTCCGGCTTCACAGCCGTGTCTGGATCCAGGAGAAGGAAGTCTGGCCTCTGGAGCAGAGACTTTAAGGTACTAAAGAGAGTGAATATAGCATATTTTGTACCTTTAACCTGGCCTCTGAATGGTATGGAATTTGGTATTGGTGGAGGAAGAGTGGACAATGGTGGCCCATCTGGAAAAGAAGTACAGGAGGCTCTTGTGAGCTTTGACTGCACAGGCAGGCTGGTCACCGAGCAAAGTCAAGAGAAAGAAAAATATCTTTCTACCTGTCCAAGGAAAATGCTGAATTACAAGAAAAATGCCAAAACTATTGCCGCACATCAAAGAAACCTTTACAGATTGGACACTCTCATTTCTGTTTCCAAATCTCCCAAAACTTTAAAAAAAAAAAAAGCCATACTATTATCATGCTAAAGGGCTACGCTACATTTTAAAATGGGTTGGCCCAGATTTTTAAACGTTTTACCCAACTGCCACCTGCTGCAGCTACTTAACTCCCACCACTTGCTCCACCAGGGCAAGAGCCCTGCTGCTTCCAGGGGCTGTCCCGTGGCCACTCAGAAGTCCACTCCCAATGAGGGACGCACTTCTGACACGCCTTGCAGAGAAGTGGTCACCTCGTCACCCGGGGCGGGGGGATGCTAACAATGGTGCCTGAACCATTAAAAGGGACCATTTGGAAAAACGATGGCTGTTGTCTACATTACATTCTGGGCTCTGTTGCAAGTGGGGACCTAGAACCCCAGGAGTGACAGTGACCAGGCTGGCCTCTCCAAGGCAATCATCAGAGTGATGAAAGGACCAAGGAGTGGCCCACTGGGTAACACCACCACCACCTGCCACAGTCTGGCCCCACGCACAGCCTGGAACAGTGCAGGGCCTGGCAAGCATAGTCCACCACCAGAGTGCCCAGAGAAGCCTCGGCCACAGACATGGCCACTCGAGGGCCCCTCCTGTGGACAGTTACCTTTCATGAAGAACCGGCAGGTGGGACGAGGCCTCACCTTCCTGTCGCTGGGGTCTTTTACTTCGCCTTCCTCCAGGTCATCATCCTGAAACAGAGGACAGTGTCTTAACAAAGGTGGGAGGGGGTCTACCCATCGGCACTGCTGCCACCAAACCACAAAGAGAAAAAGCTGGCTGTGGGGAACTTAGATATTTTCAAAGACTGTGTCTTGGCCCCTCACCAATTCACACCAATTTTCCAAATCTTAGATTCCACACCGGTAGGAGGGATGATTGCAAAGCTTGCCTACAAGCTCTAAGCATTACTCACACAGAGGAACATTAGGGAATAACACCCTGTGTACTCCACAAAGCACTTTACAATGCAGGATTTTATTATATTTCTCCTAATTAACAACTTTGGGCAGGAAATGGTTACACTTCAGGTTTAACTTCTTCTAATGTGGGTGGGGAGAAAGTTAGGCACTCAGGCCAACAATGGTGCCTGCCCAGTAATACTGGGCCCACTTTGAGCTCATTCTTAGTCCAGGGTTCCTGACCTTGGCCATCAAATTTTAGAATAACCCAGGTGCTTTATAAAGACCAAGACTCACAGATTCCAACAAACAGCCAAGACCTGACCACTGCTCTGTGCTGTCCCCAAGCTGCCCACTGCCCCAGGGCCTGCTCCCCCAAGCCTGTAGCTGAGACCCTCCTCCAGCCACCCCCAGCCCATGAGGGTGCCCAGCTGCCCTCCTGACGTCCCTGGCACAAGACTGAGTTGAGGTCGGCGCATCCAGGATGGAAGACCCAGCTTCTCCTGGCGTGCCCCTGCGGGGTCGGCCTGACCCCTCCCACTCCCACAGCACCAACCGCCTCCAGACGGCACCCAGTCCCACCAGCCTGCTGCAGCCAGCTCCTGCTTGGCCTCCTTTGCATGCCCGCCTGGGCGCCTCAGCCCCTGCTCCACAGCGCAATCCCCTTTCCAGCTTCCAACCTGAGCACGTGCTTCCCTCGCCTCTGCCCTCATCCTTCAACGCATCTCATTTTTCAGGCCCTGGGGAGGCCCGCCCCGCCCAATGGGTCCCCTCGGCTCCAACCCCTCTGCTGCGTTTCGGCTACACTGGAACATCCTGGTGTTGACCACACCACCAGCGCCTGCCCTGCATCCCACTGAGTCTCTGGGACCAGGCAGCATCTGGCTTCATAGTAAACAGTCAATGATTACTTGTTGAATGAAGAAACGCTGAAATCAAGCCCTGGATTCATGATGACTTAACCTTTTAAAGCGTAAATATTTGCATGATTTCTGTCTTGAAAATATTTGGTTGTTAAAAACTATTTTGGGCTGGGTGTGGCAGCTGGAGCCTGTAATCCTAGCACTCTGGGAGGCTGAGGCAGGAGGACCATGTGAGCCCAGCAGTTGGAGGCTGAGTGAGCTGTGATGACACCACTGCACTCTACCTGGGGAGACAGAGTGAGACTCTGTTTCAAAAAAAAAAAAAAAAAAGGCCGGGCACAGTGGCTCACACCTGTAATCCTAGCACTCTGGGAGGCCGAGGTGGGCGGATTGCTTAAGGTCAGGAGTTCGAAAACAGCCTGAGGGAGACGCCGTCTCTACTAAAAATAGAAAGAAATTAATTGGCCAGCTCAAAATATATAGAAAAAAATCAGCGGGGCATGGTGGCGCATGCCTGTAGTCCCAGCTACTCGGGAGGCTGAGGCAGGAGGATCGCTCGAGCCCAGGAGTTGAGGTGCTGTGAGCTAGGCTGACGCCACGGCACTCACTCTAGCCTGGGCAACAGAGTGAGACTCTGTCTCAGAAACAAAACAAAACAAAACAGCATTTAATAATGAAACATCCTGGGAGTTCTAGTCTTAAGAGAACCAGGAAAATCTTTTTTTTAAAGAAATGATCACAGATAACATGACAGAACCCCTCTGTCCTCTGGTCTTTTAGTTCACATTTCTCTTCACTATTATTCTCACGACACTACAGTCTTAATGCCATGTTTTATGTAAGCTCAAATCTTACTTGAGAACACGTTCTCCATTTCTTTGTTCCCATTAGAAAGAAAACAAAACTCATCTGAAAAGTTAAAATACATTTAAATCTTTGTGCTGTGCTTGAAAACCAGCGCACAGGCGCCGACGCGGTGAGCACAGAAGTCAGGGTTCACGCTGAGCACGCCAGAGCAGGCCAGCAAGGCGTGTCCCCGCGAAGGCTTTCCTGCTGGCATTCACAGGAGCCGCCTGAGCTCCTGGCCCAGGTGGGAAGCAGTCACCGGACGAACCGAGAGGGGGACCACGGAGCTCCCAGACATGACCAGTCAACAGACCAGAGACGTGTGGCCACACGTCCACGACAAAACTTCAACTTCAAAACTTCAAAGAACGTACGACAGCATATGCATCTCACTTTGTTAAAAAACAAACAAAAATAATCACCCATTCAGCAACATAATATTGTAAATTTTCTTTCTTTCTTTCTTTTTTTTTTTGACAGAGTCTCACTCTGTTGCCCAGGCTAGAGTGAGTGCCGTGGGCGTCAGCCTAGCTCACAGCAACCTCAGACTCCTGGGCTCAAGCGATCCTCCTGCCTCAGCCTCCCGAGTAGCTGGGACTACAGGCAAGCTCCACCATGCCCGGCTAATATTTTGTATATATATTTTTAGTTGGTCAATTAATTTCTTTCTATTTTTAGTAGAGACGGGGTCTTGCTCAGGCTGGTTTCAAACTCCTGACCTCAAGCAATCTGCCCGCCTCGGCTTCCCAGAGTGTTTGTAAATTTTCAACTAAGCATTTATTTTGCACATGGTCTTTTAAATGACAACAGATGATTAAAACAAGTTTTTAAATCTTAGAGTTTCACGAAAAAAAAAAAACAACTCAAGAAAGGGATCTGAAGCCAAACTCACAGCGCTGTCACCTGAGGCTGTTAGACCAAGTGTACAATGCAGGGATTCCTTCGGGCCTTCTGCTTGTGTGACCTGGACCACGGACAGCAGGAGCGGAGGACAAGCAGAGGCCCGAGTGGAACACCCAGCCACAAACTGGTGGGTCTATGAATAGGACTGCACCCAGGAAGCTCTCAGCAGGACAGCACCCAGGAAGCTCGACAGGCTGAAACGGCGCCGGCGCCGACAGGGCACACTGGCAGGCAGGCGGGGCACGCGAGGCCTGCAGTCTGCACACACTGGAGGGAGTCCCAGCCCTCAGCACACTCCTCTCTCAGCGCTTCCTCACCTCAGGGCAGATGTGCACCGCGTGAAGGGTGTCACCCACTTCAACCTTTCAAGTCTCTGTAAGACACACACGCACCAGGGTAGAAAGGCCTGGTTCAAACCCTAAGTCTGGCAGCATGGTGGCATGACTGGGGACGCGTCCCTTGGCCCGTGGGGGCCTGCTCTCCCCGCAGAACGCCACACACGCCTGCACAGAATGTGCGCAGCCAGCAGTCGATGAGTGACCACTGTATTACTGTAGCTATTTTGAGACAGGGTCTTGCTCTGTTGCCCAGGCTGGAGTGCAGTGGCACAATCACAGCTCACTGCAGCCTCCAACTCCTGGGCCCAAGCCATCCTCCTGCCTCATCCCTCCAAAGAGCTGGGACTACAGGCGTGCACCACCACCCTAGCTAATTTAAAAACTTTTTGGAGAGATGGGGTCTCACTATGTAGCCCAGGCTGGTCTCGAACTCCTGGGCACAGGCAATCCTCCCACCTCAGCCTCCCAAAGTGCTGGGATCACAGCACGGGGCCCAGCCAACTTCTTTCTGCAGGTTTTCCTGTTTCTTTTCCTTTGTTTTAAAATGATGAACACGTATTACTTATATAGCAAGACAGAAATGACTCCATAGCAAAGCATCCTTAACAAGGCAGGAAGGAAAGAAGCCACCACGCGGTGCTGAGAAGGCTGAGCGGTGGGGCCCAGACTCCACCTAGCGCTGCCACCCGGGCGGTCCGCTGCCTCCCTGAACCCTGCTTAGGTGGGGGTGAAAATACAGGTCCATGACCCCTCACCCGAACCCTATGGTGCCAGACTGCTTTGGGAATTCGGAAACGTTCTGACTGCAGAAAGGCGACACGGCAGGTTTCGCAACAGCACCTGGGAGGGGCACAGCAACCTCTTCGTGCGGGCCATGAGACCCCCCAGAGGGAAAGCACGAGACCACACGCAACCCCCAGGCAGCTGGGCCAGATATGCCACCAGGTGAGGGACAGAGGGGGGGACAGCTCCGGTTCTCGGAGCTGGGACCTCACAGCTGCGAGGAAGGACGGTGGCTGTCCAAACACCAGCCACGCCACGGGACGGAGGACTCGCCACGGGACGGAGGACTCACGGCCCAGTGCTGACGTGCTGCTGTAACACCTGCCCTTTCCCAGTGCCGGCAGGCGGCTGCTTCCTGGGCGCTGGCGACGGGACGGACAGATGCCTTTAGACCCTCCTCCACGTTGCTGCATGGAGAGCCGGCACAAGGAACCTCCCTCCGGAACAGAGTGGGAACCCAACGCCGGGAGGGCGAGCAGAGGCAGCCCTTTTGTACAAGATCTTATGTACCCAGACATAAAAGGGAACTGTGGATTTGAACAGGAGAAAATATAAAACACCCTGTGCAAAGAAAATACCTCCAAATATTTCTGTATGCGGGTGGGCTAACAGCGACTGGGTGTGACCAAGGGGTCACGCGGACTGCCCACTCGGGACTCGGGCCTGCTGTGCTGCTGCCCCTGAGAGGCCACCTGACACACACACGCATCCTCAGTAAGGGGACAGAACACAGCAGGCACCCCACCCTGCCCAGAGGGACGGCATGATCAGGTGACCAGTGGTCTGTCCGTCAGACGTGAGAGCAGCACAACAGGAGATGAGCAAAGGACAGACAGACACAAGCTAGGCCCTGCGCCTGCGATGGCAACAGGGAGACCCGAAAAGGCAAACGCGACTGCTCACCCCACCCCAGAAGGAAAGGCGGCTCTGCGAGAGGCCAGCCGGAGGGGCGGAGAAAGGAAGGAGAGACCCTCGCAGGGCAGCAGTGGGTCAAGGCAGGTTCCACACCAGCTCCTGAGAGGTGGCAGAGGGAAACGAGGCCACAGAGCACGTGGCTCCCTTCCATGTGGCTCCCGGGGCAGGGGAGACCAGTGACTAGAGGGCGGCTGGCAGGGGCACGCCTGCTCCACACCACACACGCCAGGTGCCAAGCACCCGGGGGAGACATTCCTTCCCCACCGCAGGGAGCAGCCCTTCCAAGAAGGCGTTCGTGTCTGAAGCGCATCCTGGCTGCGCACCAAAAACAGGCGCGGGTTACTCAGGCCGTGGGCACAAATGGTGTGGTTTAGACAAAATAATCTCAAGGGCTTATTGTACTAATTGAAGTCCCAATCAAGGAAACTGTACCCCAGGATCAGTTCAGCTGTCACCATGTCCCAAAATCTAAAAGGGGAAAGCAGGAAGGCGTGCCCTGAGAGAGGAGAAAGCGCCACTCAGCCACACGGAGGATAAAGCAACGGCTCTGCAGACTCTCCGCCGGCCAGGACAGAGGGGAGGTGCCCGCAGCAGGGGGGCCTTGGGGCAGAGGGACCCGAAACTCTCTGTGCAGCGGCACAAAGACCGATTTTTTGAGGATAGAGGCCAAACTGCATATTTCTTCCTCATAAAAACACCCAGATAGTTCACCTCCTAGGCCAGGGCTGCCTGCAGTGAGGAAATGCCTTCCAGAACGTGAACTTTGCACCAAGAGGAGACGCTGCTTTCCAAAGATTTAAAGAAAAGGGGACCTGGCCCTAGACGAGTGCCCTCCCCTCCAGAGAAACGTTCCCAGAGACAGGGAAGGGGGCACAGGGCAGGGAGGCCAGCAGGGCCTCTCGGACAGGCGGGACGAGGGCCTGGTGGAGATTCAGCAGAGAGCCCATGGGGGGGACCGGGTGACAAGTTTGGAACTGGGCCTGAGAGCAGGAAAAACCAGCGAAGAGTAGCGCTCTGCAAGCACACGCTGACGCACCTGCGCTGGGTCCTCCCCAGCCGCAGTGGAGGCTGACGCCGGTCACTCGAGCTGCCCTCCACATGCGGTCACCTGTCCAGCACAGACCTCCCGGCCCACTGCCACTTCATGCCACAAAGTGCCCGCCAGCCTGGAGTCAGGCGCTCCCGAGTGCAGGCTGAGCCCATGGTCCTCAGCAGCTGCCCGCCCACCCTGGTAAGGCCTGCTGCCCTGACAGTGGGCACAGCTCTGCTTTGCCCAGTCACAACCCAAAAGGTCACACGCCAGTGCGACGTTCAAGAGCACAGACCTCCCAGGGGACTCGGGGTCAGGGGCACAGCTTGCAGTGTGGGAAGAAAACCGGCTTCCCCAATACTGGCGGAAGCTGTGGGGGGAGGGGAGGTCTCTTCAACATGCAGGGCCAGGAAGACAAAAACACACCGTGCACCCAAGAGTGCAAGAAAGTCCAACTGGGTTTTTACCCCATGTGCTGTTTCTAGGGCAGCCAGCAGACCAAGACCACGGGCACCCCCCTCCACCCCCACCCCATTGCAAAGCCCGTGGTGAGCCACAGCCAAAGCCTCGCAGGACCCCTGTGCAGACCTCTGACGCCCCAATGAATCCCCCGTGGGCTTACGAGCACCGGACCCTGGGCACAGGGCCCGGCACACGCACGCGCGCGGCTGTCATCTTCAGAACACTGAAAACCAAACTCGCAGGCAATCTCAACCCAATGATGTCATCTTCTGCCTAAAATCGCAGCGAAATTGACAGCCTGAGTCTCACGGCTCCCACTTTGCCTTTGCAGCCCTGGGGGGGAGGCTTCTCCGGGAGGGGAGGGAAGCAGCAAGCAAGCATGAGGCGCCCCCTGACAATAGCCGCGTCTCATGTAAGAACAGGAGATGGTATCAGTCAAAATTATTAACGTCGGGGCCACTTCCTACATCTGATTGTGAGAAGATGAGATATCTCGTAACCACACCCCCACAACAAAGTCCTGATCGTAAGAACCTAAGTTAGATGACCAACATCTCAAAGCCTGTGAGTCACTAAGCACCGCCACCACCACCGCCACTGCCGCCGGGACAGCTGACAGAGCAGATGACATCTCAACACCACTGGGCGCACACAGACAAAGGCACTGCTGAGGCTGGTGCTCAAGGGAAACCTGTGGCTGGACACTCAGCTGGCAATCTCACCACCCCCAGCCGAAACATTTCTGCGACATTCCACACACCTCTCACTGCACGACACTCCCACAGGCAGACCCACCTTCCCTGGACCTTTCCGGTCTGCTCTGTCCCCCACAGTCCCACAGACAGAACCTCATTCCCTGGACCTTTCCGGTCTGCTCTGTCCCCCACAGTCCCACAGACAGAACCTCCTTCCCTGGACCTTTCCGGTCTGCTCTGTCCCCCACAGTCCCTTTGCGTTCAACAGTCTTGCCAAGTACTGCTCAGTACGACTTTCGGCTGTTTTCCCAAAAAAACCTCATAAGTTCTTTCAACAGGATTACCTTCCATAAAAAGCCAACTTACCCAGGTATCTGGCCACACATGCATGCTCCCCTCAACCTGAAGGCCAGATTGATTTAAGTCACAAAGAGTGTGACAGCCTCATCAGAAGCCGTGGCACCTGACACACAGCTGGGTCTCACCCGTCTTCACCAGGGTCTTCAGGGACGCACCTGGTGCCTCTGCAGGGGACCGGCGGCAGGGCAAAGACAAATGTGCCCAAAGAGCAGACAAAACTGGAAGCGAACCTTATTCTCTTCAGCCTTAAGGACCCAACAAGAGCTGAAAATCCATGAGGGCTCTCGCTGAGTGAGGGCTAACTCAAGAATTACTCTTTTCACTTAAAGAAAACAAAAACAAAACCCGGTACCTAAAAAAACTGGGGACCAGGCATTTTAATCACGCCAACCAACACCCGTGATGCACGGCCGTCGCTGGGTGCCGACGGAGTCTCCTGACGCCCGCTCCTCACTGCCAACTCCCAGCTCCTCCTTTCCAGCTCTGTGGCGGCTGACCCCAGCCGCTGGCCCCCTGCACTGCTGCCCTCTTGTCCCGAGTGACAAGGCCCACAGGGTCCTTCCCTCTCCCGCACTGGCCAGCATCCGGCTGGCGCAGATGGCCCTGCTGCCCCATACTCACGTCTATCTCCCCGTCGTCGATTTCTCCATCATCATCCTCTTTCTTTTTCTCCTTGGCAGCAGCCTCCAGGGGTTCCTTTTCTCCCACACTTTGGGCACCAGCCGCCCCCTCCTCCCGGTGAGCGCCGTCACCCTTGTCCTCGTCGTCCTCGGCCCCAGCCTTCTCGGCTTCGTCCTCCTGGGCGGCGGGAGCCGGCTCCTCGGGGACCTCCTCGTCATAGTCCAGCTCGTGCTCGTCCAGCTCCCGCGTGACCGAGGAGGCCTCGTCCCTGAGGTCGCTCGTCCGGTCTTCCTCCCCCTCGTCCCCTTCGTCCTCGCACGGGGGGCTGGCTGGGCCCCTGCTCAACTCGTTGGCCTCGGAGTCCGGGTCCTGGGACTTGGGCTCGCTCGCTCGATCCTCCTCGTCAGAGCGGTTGGCCTCGTCCTCCTGGCTCGGCCCCCGGGCCGCATTTTCTTCATCCTCCAAATCGGAAGCCCTCCCCCCAGCTCCGTCCAAGTCCTGCTCAGACCCACTGTCCCTCAGAATGTCATCGTCCGAGAGCCCCTGCGGCTGCTCTTCGTCCTCTGGAGAGCGAGGATCCCGTTCAGGGCTCTCGGCCACATCCATCGGTACCCACGGTTCTGCAAAAGAAAACACAGAGTCACGGCACTTAGCAAAATGGCAAGTCAACCCGTCCTGACCTTCCTGGCCCATGCTCCTTCCTGACCTGAAGGAGAAGCAGGACCTCCATGTGCACACAGCGCTCTGCAGAGGAAGCCGGGCCGAGACTCCACTGCACGGGGCTGCATTGTGCTCAGCTGAGCTGGGTGTTGGGTGCCTCCTGCTATCAGCAATCGGGCAGAATGAGACGGGCCGGCACACCCTTCCCCTCTCAAGGGCAGCCCACAAAGGTTAACAGAAAGTGAGTAGTAAGATACGGACTGCAAAAAATATGTTTGATTCTTAAGAATATTTACTTCTGAAATTCAGGATAATTTGCATTATGGAATGAAGCAGCAAAACTGAAGGCAACGTGCGACCATTGTTCTGGAGTCATCCTAAGGATGCCGGGGCAGCTGTCAGCAGGGCCCAGGTGGGAGCCCTTTCCTGACACCAGGCCCACTTCCCGGAGCAGGGCCCCCAGCCACCCGTCGGGGCCCCCGCAGGTGTTCACGGACACGTGCCCGGGGCCAGGGTCTCTAGCGGAGCCCAGAGGCAGCGCTGTGTGTGTGCAGTGACTCTCACATCACATCCTGCACGGGTACTCGTTGTAGAAAAGAACACTGGCAGAAAATTTTACACATCCAAGTAGTGTGCTTATGTAAAAGACAGTGTCGCTGTGGAAGATTTCATTTCTATTTTTACTAGTCCAGATTTAACTATGCAGTGAGTATTTTTTGGTTTTCCCAACTCAGAAACCCAAGACAGGGCACTGCTGCTCTATCGTAAGGGGGATCACACAAGGTGGGGTCCGAGCAGGCGCCGGCACCCCACTCCAGCAGGCCCGCCAAGTGGGCGTGGAGCAGCAGCGGGTTCTGTGTTCACTGGAGTCTTCATCCTAAGGCTGCTTAACATTTTTTATTTCAAATAACATATGTCCCAGTCACGCCGCTTGGTGTCTCAGCAAGATCTGGAAATAGTTTATTCATCCCAAGATAACTATGGGCTCAGAGGCAGCAAGCCATACACACTGCACGCTGGCATTTTTTGTATATATCAATTACTTACGTAATTACATATATTAAAGATAAAGGTGTATATCTTTTAAATTTATACTTTTAAAAGGACAACCTGTTTAAAGATGCATAGTATCAACAGTTGGCATCTGAACCTACAGTTAAACATCCTTCTTTTTTGCTGTTAATGGAAATTAAAATTGCACATGCATTAGGATAAATCACATAAAATTCATCACTTTACAAAAACTAAATGGTTAGCAATAATATAAATTTACAAACCAGCCAATCCATTCTAAGTCACTTAAAAGTAGACAGTTTTGAAAATCATTCATTTTTCCGTCTAACTACACTGTGGGTCAGTGCCCAGAGGTAGGGCTGCTAGACGGAATTACCGAAAAGTCAGTCCCGAAATGCAAAGTGAGGAAGCGAGGCGGCTGCCCCGCAGAGTCTGGAGCTGCGAGCAGCAGCGGCGGTCTGGGTGCACAGTGCACACCTGCAGCCTGCGGCAGCACGCAAGGACAAGGTGTTGCAAGGACGGCAGCCCCCTGCTAAGGCCGCCAGTATGTGGGGTGTTACAGCAAAAAGCCAGGAGGTGAGTGGCAAATGGGCAATCCCTTCCCACCTGTACTTAATGATATTAATTAACACCCTACCTCTGTCTTTGTACAGTTTTTATTACATTGTATATCTTAAAATCTTGTCCATAGAAGGGCAGGGACTGTTCATCTCCCCCCCTGCCTAAGTGTAGCATCTGTTACCCAGTAGGATGTGGTCACGCTGAACTGGCTATTAAGTGTTATAACCTGACAAATTCAGATTCTCATACTTTATAATCTAATAGCAACCTTAGAAACAAAGTTATCTCTTAAGTCAACCATTATACAAAACTGAATGTCTCCTCAAACTGTTAGTAGAATAGTTAAAGAATCACACTATTGATACTCTGCAGAAAACACCATGAGACTGCCACCAGCTTTGCAACATACTATCCCGTACTAAGCAATGCTCTGCACAGACCCTCATAACCTGGGTCAGCACTATTTCTAGGACCCAGGTGTAAACTGGTTTGCACTTTGGTTTCATTGATAAGATTACGCCCAAGAAAATTGTTTTTTATATTTTGGCAAACTTGAAATGAAATCCTAAAGAAATAAAAGAGTTCCTAATGTCAACTGTCTAAACTAATGCAAGAAGCAGGCCAGTTAACAGTAGGAAGGCGCTAAATAGTGTCTCCTGAAGCACTTGGGAGTGATTTATTCATTGTTTCACACAAATACCTGAGAATCCACTCAACATAAGACTACCTTATGAAAGCAGTGCAGTAAAACCAATAGCCAGCCACCACCTGTTGACAGACCACCTAACTCATACCCTGGTATCATTCTGAATTCTCACATCAACCTTCAAAATAAGTGTTGCTCCGTCTCTAGATAAGGAAACCAAGGCCATGTGGTGGCTGCAGCGCAGACCTGCTGTCCAGGTGCACATACTAGTGCAGCCCTGGACTAGGAATGCAGGTAGCGTCTGCTTCTGCCTAGGAACCAACACCTACTGTTAGCCACTGTTCTATAGGAATGAGGGACCCAAGTTCCAAACTGACTTTATAAATTCTTTTTTTTCTGAGACAGAGTCTCACTTTGTTGCCCGGTCTAGAGTGCCATGGCATCAGCCTCGCTCACGGCAACCTCAAACTCCTGGGCTCAAGCGATCCTTCTGCTTCAGCCTCCCGAGTAGCTGGGACTACAGGCATGCGCTATCATGCCTGGCTAATTTTTCTATATATTTTTTTTAGTTTGCCAATTAATTTATTTCTGTTTTTAGTAGAGACGGCGTCTTGCTCTTGCTTAGGCTGGTTTCAAACTCCTGACCTTGAGTAATCTGCCCACCTCAGCCTCTCAGAGTGCTAAGACTACAGCTGTGAGCCACCATGCCCAGCCTTATAAATTCTTTTTTGGAACATACCACATGCATAAATTGGGGATTTCTGTTAACTAGTAGATTTTGCCATCTTTCTTTTTTCCTTTATTAAGTTTTGTGCTGGTCCATCTATATACTCCCATCTCAGCCCTTCAAGAAGCTAATACACACGTTTTCATGACGATGGACAAGTTACTGTCTGATGGATTAATATAAAGTCTCCTAGCTAAAAAAAACAGTGATGACTGACCATATGAAGATCCAACTGGTGACATCAGTCATTTATTTTACGATTTTAAACTTGTTTGAAGTTCAAATATTAGGCACTTAAACTAGACACGAACCAGTTAAAAGAAACCCCCGAAAGGTACACCACCTTTATACTGAGACCACAGGAAATGCTGACTAAAATTAAAACCCCAGAGACATTAGTGTACTGAGAAGTAAAATAGTTTTAAGAAGTACTCATTGGGCTGCTCGCCCACTTTGACTTAGGTAATTACTTCAACATCCAAGGCTGCAAAAATCATTCTTTCTGCCTCAAGAGAATGGCCCAAGATCATCTGTTCCCATCCAAGGCAGCTCACTCTCCATGTCAGTGGGGACTTCTGAGAAACTCGGCTGCTCTGAGAGTCTGAGGAAGGGTATGGCTCCTCTCCCTAGAGAAGCCTGGACACACACAACTTACCTTCCACTTCAGGGAGTTCAAAACCTCTCAAAGTCTACCTATGGTCTTGACATTAAGATCTCTGACCTCAGTAATTACACATGATTCTATTACATATGCATACTTAACACACAGGGTAGCAACCATGTGTTTGCAAAGTCTGTTGGGAGACCCGACACCCACAGAGCACCAGAGAATGAGTGATCAGACTCACTTCTTTGTTCCCTGAGCTCACCGAAGGGCTGGCACTTAGTAGCAAGTTACCTCATGATTTATTGTCTAAACTGGGACATCTCTGAGACTGAAAGGGGGCACTAATGACAATTACAGGCTGGGCACAGTGGTACATGCCTGTAATCCTAGCACTTTGAGAGGATCACTTGAGTCTAGGAATTTGAGACCAGCCTACGCAACATAGTGAGACCCTGCCTCTAAAAACATTGAAGACTTAGCTGGGCATGGTGACATGTGCCTGTACTCTCAGCTACTTGGGAGGCTGAGGTGGGAGGGTCACTTGAGCCCAGGATTTCAAGGCTGCAGTGAGCTATGATCACACCACTGCACTCCAGCCTGGACAGCAGAGTGAGACCACGTCTCTAAATAGACAAAACAAAAATTCAATTACAACACGCATGAACAGGGGCTCCCCTAGGCACACTAGGACACAGTCACCCTTAGGAGGCCCTGACTCGTTTCCTGAGGAAAGGAGTCACATTGTCTTCTTTCCCATGGGAACTCCTGGGATTTTTTTTTACTATCAGAGGCTACACACAGGTGAACACCTTTCAGAGAAAAACATGCCAATGAATCTACCTGTTTATTAGAAGCAACTTGAGTCACACCTTGTTGCACAGACGACAAGGAACATCACTGGGAATCAGGAGACAGCTTGAGTTCCAGGCCCTGCTCTGGCCAGGTTAACTGTCTCTCCGGGCGTCACAGTCCTGCTTTGAAATTAACTCAATTTTAATTTTTCAATTTAACTTTATTTATTTTTTTTTTGAGTCAGGGTCTCACTCTCTTGCCTGGGCTAGAGTGCCATGGCGTCAGCACGGCAACCTTTCACAGCAACCTCAACCTCAAACTCCTGGGCTCACGCGATCCTCCTGCGTCAGCCTCCTGGGTAGCCAGGACTATGGGCATGTGCCACCATGCCCAGCTAATTTTTTCTATTTTTAGCTATTTGGCTAATTTCTTTCTATTTATAGTAGAGATAGGGTCTCACTCTTGCTCAGGCTGGTCTCAAACTCCTGAGCTCAAGCAATCCTCCCAACTCAGCCACCCAGAGTGTTAGGATTATAGCCATGAGCCACCACCCCGGCCTTGAAATTAACTCAATTTGGCATATATCTGAGTGTGTACTCTACACTGGGAGCTAGGAAGGGAAACATGTGGCCCAGTAAGTGTTAGCAATGAAATGGAGAGTTCTCTGGTCAAGTCACAAATGACTCCCAAGTTTAGAATTTTTAGAATTCTAAACTTGGGAATTTAGAAGTTTAGAATTTTTGCTCAATTTGGTCTTCTCACAGGATCACCCTGTAATCGAGGACTCGCAGCAAGATTCAGAGCTAAATCCTTAATCTTCTGATCCACAAGATGGATTTCATTTCCCAGGGAATTAAATACCAAGTGTTCATCGTTGTGATTCTGTTGCCTACTTCATTTGGCAGACAATCCTTGATAAATGCTCGTTGAATACAATGACAAAATCTTGTTACTTGATGAACTACCTTGATGAGCACACCAGAAAGAAGTTTAAATTAACTGCCTAATTTGCAGCCTAACAAAGAAGTGAGGCTGCACACTGATGCCAGTGGCACTGCTGGAGCACACAGCATTTGGGGACCTTCTCTTTTTGGGTTCCCTTCAGAGCCTGCAGAACACTTTTCTGGTACTCTCAGTGTTAGCAAACCTTCCCCCTCTCAAGGTGGGTCACTTTGAGAAACTGCAGCAAGTCATTCAAAGTCTCAACTGGTAAGTGAGGTGAGTTATCAAGCCGGGTAGGATAACCTTTGGCCAAACATGGGGTGTGACTATTGAATGAGACTGATTTTCTCATACCGCTTATATTTTTACTACCAAAACAGGAGTTCTAAAAAGGTTTTGGCAAAGGAACAACAATGAAACACAAGCATAAAGCTGGGTGTGGTGGCTCACGCCTGTAATCCTGGCACTGTGGGAGGCCCAGGCAGGAAGAATGGTTTGAGCTCAGGAGTTCAAGACCAGCCTGAGCAAGAGCTCTACTAAAAATAGAAATAAATTACCTGGATAACTAAAAATATATAGAAAAAATTAGCCAGGCATGGTGGCACATACCTGTAGTCCCAGCTACTTAGGAGGCTGAGCCAATAGGATTGCTTGAGCCCAGGAGTTTGAGGTAGGCTGACGTCCACAGCACTCTAGCACGGCAAGAGTGAGACTCTAGTCTCACAAAAAGAAAGAAAGAAAGAAACACAAGTATAGCATTTTGGGTCAATTACTTTTAACAGACCAGTCCTTATTTGAATGTCTAAGCTTTGATATGTCTGGCTAAAACTCCCATTCACAACTTCATGGATTTACAGTATCTAAAGGATGTCAGGGTTGGTGTCAGACCCTAAAAACCCCAAACTGACTAAGCTTAACCACACACAAAAAAAACTCCTCAGTGAGAAAGTACTCACCTTCAGGTGATCCGTAGCTGGGATAAAATACAAAACCTCTTTTAACATGAGCAAGGCCACAGCTTACCTGTTTGCTTTCTGGAGTGATTCCACAAAGCTTTCTACAATGTTTGAGCATTTCCCACCTAAAACAGGAAAGGAGTTCCCAGCTTTGGGATGCATTTGACTGGTTCCAGACCTGGCTGCGCTCCACTGTGCTCAAATAGTAGTAAAATTACCAGGCAAACACTCTCCTTCCAGGGCTGGCAAGTGGGAATCTGCCTTTGTCCAGGCTACAGCACTGGGAAAGGACCACTCCACAGACAACAGGATAGAGGTGAGGCTCAAAGAAGAACTGATGAGAGCCTTGTGTACCCCAAACAGTCCTTCAGATGGCAAACAACCTCTTCGTTCTTTTTTCTCAAATGGTCTGAAGAATGATCTACTCTTGCAAATCAGTTTGCTAAACAAAGCTCATCTAAAACAATCAACCACTCTGCCTAGCAAACTCAGCGGTCATATTCAGGAAAACTTAATTTTTAGTAGAAGCAATATTCCAAGTTTTGAAGTCTTAGGTTCTTCCAGCACAACAGCGGCAGTTAGCTAACGTCAAGGACCCTGCACCCTCTGAGCTTCTAATCAAAGAGTGCAAGGAAGTTACATATTCCTAAGACGCTGGCGCGCGTCTTGGGGTAGTTAGTAAGACCAACCTGTGCACACTTTGAAGCGGCGGGAGCAAGTTCCAGGAGTTCCCAAAGAGCTCAAAGTTCCCCGAAGAGCCCATCAACAGTCGGGGCTGGCCTACTCGGAGGCGAACCTGCGTGCCTCTCACCCCCCCCTTTGCGGGCGGCGAACATGTGCCACACAAGTGGCCCGGAAGAGAAATGACAGCTTCAGGAAAATAAACTCCGCCGCGGGGCGCGAGGAGCTCAGCCACCGAGGGCGCCCGAGGGCCCACGGGGCCAGGATCGCGCGGGCGGAATGCGGGGCCGTGCCTGTCTCAGCGTCCCCCTTCCTGGGCCCGGGAGCCGCGCTTCGGCCCGTGGCTGTGCACGGCCGGGGGCGCGCCGGGCTCCCGGGCCTCGCTCCCGCCGCCGCCACCGAGGCGGCCTCCTCCTCCCCGCCGCCGCCCGCCCGGCCTCTCGCCGCCCGCCCGGCCCCGCTTACTTCAGCGCGAGGGCGGGGAGGGGGCCACGGCTCCGCTGGAGTCGGGGCGGCGCGGAGAAGACGTCCCTCGGCCCTTCCGCTCCTCACGGGCTCCGGCTCCAGGCGCGACGCGGGCGGAACAAACGGGCTCCACTAGCCGCGGGGGCCGGCCATTGTGCGACGTCATCAGACCGCGACGGTCGTCCTGCAGCCGGCGGGCTTCCCTTGCTCGCCCCGCCCTCCGCTCCGCTTCCTTCCGGCCTCCGCGCGGCCCCGCCCCCGCGGTGCGCACCCGCCGCACCCCACCGCGGCGCAGGCGCAGAGAGCGCCCGTCCTCGGTGGGCGGGGCTCCGGGCCCGCGCCTGCGCACTGGGCTCCCCGCGCTTTCTGAGCCACGTGCCTGGTGTCTGGCGGGACGCGACCGTCGCGGGCGGGTCTTAAAGCTGAGGGGTTTAAAGCCGTTTTTTTTTTTTTTTTGTCGGGCCCACTCTCTGCCGCGTTCCGGGTGCTATGCCACACGATCAGCGCCGGGACCGGCGGAGTTCCGCGACTTGGGCTGCGAGTGTAGACGCCCGGCCTGGACTCGCGTCCACGCGGGCCGCGACGCGTGCGCTCCGGGGGGCGGGAGGTTGGCCGTCGCGCCGCCCGCTCGTGCCCCGGGGCCGGACGGGACGGGTGACTGGGACTGGGGGAGGGGGCGCCCGGCAGGGAAGGTTCTGGGCGCTGCTGGCCGGGGGCACGCGGGGGGCACGCGGGGTGGGGGCCTGGCCCTGCGGCTGCCTTCGGAGAAGGGCCTTGAGGGATAATTGGGTCACATGACGCCGGAGGGTGGGGGGGGTCGGGGCGGGTGCCCGTGCCATCTGCAGACCGGGACGAGCCCCGCCAACCCGCTGTCAGCACGTGGCCCGCACTGCCAGCCCGCGGAGCCGCGGGGACAGCTGTGTCTTTGAGCCACGTGGCATTTTGTTAGGCGGCCCACGTGGCCCGTGTGGCCCAGCGGTACGAAATGCCCGGTTGGCAAACTCAGGGTCACAGCGTCAGCTCTGGTTGCCACGGCCTGGGGGGAGGAGAGGAGAGTGACTGCTTCAGAGGTTCACCGACTCTTTTAGGGGTGACGAACGTATTCCGGAATTAGGTAACGCTTGCACAACTTCGTGAATGCACTAAACACCACTGAACTCACAACTGTATTAACTCCCCTTAGAGGCAAAAGAAGAAAAAGAAAAACCACCGCTGAACGGTACACTTTAAACGAGTAAATTTGGCCCCGCGCGGTGGCTCAGGCCTGTTAATCCTACCACTCTGGGAGGCCCAGGCGGGTGGATTGCTGAAGGTCAGGAGTTCGAGACTAGCCTGAGCAAGAGTGAGACACCGTCTCTACTATAAATAGAAAGAAACTAATTGACCAACTAAAAAATATATAGAGAAAAAATTAGCCAGGCATGATGGCGCATGCCTGTAGTCCCAGCTACTCGGGAGGCTGAGGCAGGAGGATCGCTTGAGCCCAGGAGATTGAGGTTGCTGTGAGCTAGGCTGACTCCACGGCACTCACTCTAGCCTGGGCAACAGAGTGAGACTCTGTCTCAAAAATAAAATAAAATAGTAAATCTTACAGTATGTAAATTACCCCAATAAAGCTGATTTTTTAAAATATTCTCTTTTTTTTGAGACAAAGTGTTACTCTGTCACCTGGGCTAGGGTGCCGTGGCGTCAGCCTGGCACACACCAACCTCAAACTCCTGGGCGCAAGCAATCCTGCCTCAGCCTCCCGAGTAGCTGGGATTACAGGCGTGAGCCACCACACCCAGCTAACTTTTCTATTTTGAGTAAACACAAGGTCTCACTCTTGCTCAGGCTGGTCTGGAACTCCTAAGCTCAAGAATCCTCCCGCCGTGGCCTCCCAGAGTGCTAGGATTATAGGTGTGACCCACCATACCTGCCCAAAATATTCTTTTTTTAAAAAAAGGAGAAAACTGGGCTAGGTGCAGTGGCTCACGCCTGTAATCCTAGCACTCTGAGAGGCCGAGGTGGGCGGATTGCTCAAGGTCAGGAGTTCAAAACCAGCCTGAGCAAGAGCGAGACCCCGTCTCTACTATAAATAGAAATTAATTGGCCAACTAATATATATAGAAAAAATTAGCCGGGCATGGTGGCGCATGCCTGTAGTCCCAGCCACTGGAGGCTGAAGGAGCTAGGCTGATGCCATGGCACGCACTCTAGCCTGGGCAACGAAGTGAGACTCTGTCTCAAAAAAAAAACAAACCAAACAGAAAAGGAGAAAACTGGAAGGAGATAGGAGAGGAGGGGTGGTGCAGGGCAGGGACTGAGAAGAAGTGGGAGGAGGCACAAGTCTGCCTCCCAAATAAACCTTCATTGTCCCCTTTCTCCATCCCCCACCCCTGGTCTCAGCCACCATCGCCACCTGCCAGGACCAACACTGCAGCCCCCTCACCCTCCTGCTCCTACCACGCCCCCCCCCCATGCAGCCAGAGAGCCTCCTTCCTAAACCCCAGGTTGGTTCTGATCTCCCTGCACCAGCTTGAGACCCCTCCGGCAGCTCCCTCTGGCCGCCAGACAAAATTCAACCTGCTGAGCGTGATCACCATGTTCCTTAGGATGTGGCCATTCTAGCCCGTCTCTCCTGCCCCCCACTTGCTCCATGCTTGCTCCACCCTGAGTCTTTGCAGAGGCCCTTCCAGCTGCCTGGAATACGCTTCCCACCTTTCTCCTGTGCCCGACTTACACCAGATCCTCCTCCCAGAGCCCTGCCAACACACCGGGCAGCTTTGGTGCCACCTGTGTGTGCCCACAGTGCAGCCTCAGGGCAGGTTCCAGCACTGGGCTGAATCTAGAGGGAGGTTGGTGGCATTTGGAGGGTGTATGGGGGTGGGGGCACCGAGAAGCAGGCCAGGTCTCTCTAAATCCAAATGCCAGCGGCTCACACCCCAAGCTGTGAGCCAGCGTGAGGGTGCAGCAGGTTTCCTCCTGACCCTCAGCTTTCTTGCTGTGCAAAATGGGGCCGTTCGTGCCGCTGCCTCCTTCCATAAGAGAGTAACGGGAAGATGAGGGGACCCACACAAAGCCTGTCCCACTTCTATGCAGCCTTCACTCAAGCGGGCCCCGTGGCGAGGGCCTCCCATAAGATCCCTGAGAAGCCAGTTCACAGCTGGGGAAATAGAAGCTGGACAGTCACAGCACTGAAGTTTCACCCCAGACAGTCGGACCTCAAAACTCAAGCGTCGTGTGATGCGCTGAACGAGGTCTGTCCAGATCCTATCATTCTCCTTGTTACGTAGCAAATGTAAACGTCTGTTCTATTCAGCCCTAGTTACTGGGGGTCACATTTACTAACGGTCACGCAGACACTGGCTGGCCCACCCCCCACATTGTGTGCTGACAGACTCGGTCCCATCTGGCAGGTGCCTTTTGGCCAGTTGAGGACAGCAAGCCTGCCCTGACTGTCTGACCACAGTCACAGACCATGTCACCAACTGCAGTGGGTTTTGCATGGCTGTCACCACCAAACGCTGAATCTGAATTTAAGTAAAGATGTGGTTAACTATGTTGAGTCGCAGTCCCTTTGCAAAATAACGTGGCTTTATTGAGAAGAAGGGTCCTGTGACCCACAATTCTACCCTGGGCAGGAGTTCTCACAGTGGGACCCTGGACCCCATTCTCAGCATCGCCTGGGCATTCGGCTCAAATGCATGTTCCCATGTTGCTCGAGAAAGGTGCTCCAGGACCTCTGGGTGGGGTGCGGCCGCCTGTGCTTTAGCTGCTCTGGGAGGCCAAGGCGGGCGGATCATTCAAGGTCAGGAGTTCGAAACCAGGCTGAGCAAGAGAGAGACCCCCCGACCCCGGTCTCTACTAAAAATGGAAAGAAATCAATTGGACACCTAAAAAAATATAGAAAAAATTAGCCGGGCATGGTGGCATGTGCCTGTAGTCCCAGTTACTTGAGAGGCTGAGGCAGGAGGATCGCTTGAGCCCAGGAGTTTGAGGTTGCTGTGAGCTAGGCTGATGCCATGGCACTCACTCTAGCCTGGGCAACACAGTGAGACTCTGTCTCAAAACAAACAAACAAACAAACAAACAAAAAACAGCCCTGGGGGATCCTGGTGCTAGATGGTGTGTGCTCACTACTGCTTTGAGTATCTTTTGCTGTGGGCACCAAGAGACACAGATGAGGCTATTCATAGATCTTTTAGTAGTAACTGAAATAACAAAGGAAAAACACCTGAACACCCCCCAAATACTTACCAATAGATGATTATAATATTATTATAATAGATGTAATATTGTAATAGTAATGTATATTTATAATATTGTAGCTGTTAAAAATTATAATATCTGAACTCCAGCTATATACATATATAGATATAATATTCACGTGGTCATTTATAACGTTGAACTCAAAAGGCAAGCGGCAGAAAAACAGGGCACTTCCATAAGATTAAGGCCATGAGCCTTTTTGGCACCACACCCAGCTAATGTGGTCCTTTTTATCAGCAAGCCTTGGTCGGGAACAGTGGCTCATGCCTGTAATCTCAGCACTTTGGGAGGCTCAGGCAGCAGGGTTGCCTGAACCCAGGAGTTGCAGGCTGCAGTGAGCTGTGGTGACACCACTGAACTCCAGCCTGGGTGACAGAGCGAGACCATGTCTCTAAAACTAACTAACTTACAAAAGCCTGCCTGTGCTATGGCTTGAATGAGTCTCCCAGACTTCATGTGTTAGAAACTTAATGCTCAAATTCATATATGTGGATGGCATTGGGAGGTAGGGCCTGGGGGATAATCAGGATTAGCTAGGGCCATCAGAGCAGGGTCCCCATGCTAGGACCGGTGGATTTACAGTGGGAGGAGGACAGACCTGAGCTGCCACCCTCCTGCCCTTTCAACATGTGACGAGACACAGTGAGGGCCCTCGTGGCATTGCCGGCACCGTGATAGTGGACTTCCCAGCTTCCAGAACTGCAGGACATAAAGCTCTGTCCTATCAATTACCCAGTCTCAGGTAAGAGCTACAGCAACAGGAAACAGACCAAGACACCTGTAAGTTTCTATCTGATGCTGGACACTGTGGATAGATGATTGCAGGGGTGCCCGGACGGTGTTATTAATGTAAGGACGCCTCCTTACTGGCGGACAGACCATCAGATCACCTCGGCCCTGTGCAGACCCGCATGTGGAACGGCAGCCCTCAC